TGAGTTAAGAAAGAAAGAAAAAACAGAAAAGTGAAAGGGAAGAAAGGAAGGGAAGAAGGAATAAAAGGGAATAAGATTGTAAACGACTATACACCCTTTTAATAAGTCCCAAGGTATTGTGTTCTCCGCACTTGACGTCAAATTTATTATTTTCAATTCCTTTTGTATTAAAAAAAATTCAAAAGAATAAATTTGACGTCAAGTGCGGAGAACTCAATACCTCGGGACTTATTAAAAGGGTGTATACAGTGCCATGTGCATTACGATAAGGACAGCCTAAGAATATTTATTTGCTATGAATGTAAGGCATACCTTGTGTCTCTCCAACTGAATGACTAAGAAGTTTTATATCAAGCAAACTGATGGAGAATTGTGTAGAAATCACAGGAATGAGTGACGGACTGTAAACTGAGTTTACTTTAACAGACGCAGCCAGTGAAGTAGCACTTATGAGTGACCTAAACAATAATACAACAATTGCAAATATTCACTGGAAAAAATCGCGCGCTATAAAGGTTGTAAATTTGATGTAAATATGATGTAAGTGTCCAAAATTCTGTAAATTTAATGGAAATCATTTACATCAAATTTACAGAATTTTGGACACTTACATCATATTTACATCAAATTTACAATCTTTATAGCGCGCGATTTTTTCCAGTGATTACAGCTTCGGACTTAAAAACCTAAAACTTTATATTGCAATACATGCATCAGGAGTTTCGGAGAACAATGCATCCGCCATCTTGAAAAGTGAGACTCAAATCACTAAATTATAACTCCTAAAGAAATTAAAAGGTTCTAAGTTAATGTAAATCTAATATAATATACGTTATGATGATAGATTAGTTGACTAAGCAACTATGAAATTTGTTCTAAGGCAAAACAGTGATCAGGGCTCACTTTTCAAGATGGCGGACACATTGTTCTCTGAAACTCCTGATGCGTGTATGGTTGTATGTGTAAACAGTTGCAGAAGGTTTTGACGGGAAAAACGTCATAATTGGTTCCGAGTCTATGTTGAGCACAATCAAACATCCTACATGTCCCGCTATGGAATGTTTTAGTTGTTTGTTGTTTTAGTGTCCAATACTCCTTGTAAAGTAGGACAACCCTCAAAATCAATGCCACATCATAGAGTAAGAGAGGGTAAATGTAAACTGGGAAGTCAAATACTAGACATTAGGGAACTAAAACCGAAACACAGCAGAGGTCCTTCTGGAACGTCCCAGCTTCTTACCTAAAGGGACTACTATATGAAGAGCCTCCATCTTCATCATGTAAGCTACGGTCATCAGTAAGTTCAACATCAATTGAAGCATCAACAATCATCTGCCATTCTTCTGATACAATGACAGTTGATGGATCAGCGGTCAAGGGGTCTGGTAACGNCTGGGTTCAAACCATTCTATCTCAATGACTAAAATATAACAAAACTTGATAACTGACCCTGAGTTCGTCCCCCATATTGAGAGTGTTCACAAGCACTGGTGACGTAAAGGGAAGGGGAAGCACTTGAACTGCAGCCAGAGCACGTGGTTCAGGATAACGCCAAATCATGGATGGTGGCTTATCACGTGTGTCACTGGTAAAGAGTATCTCATATGGTTCAGGATGATGTAGACCTGTAGTACCTAAAAACAAAAATAAATTTTACACTACTCACTTCTATAAAAGCTAGTTTAGAACTAGAGCTACTATACACTGTGAAAACATTATTTTTCACTTTCCAAACTTGAGGATCTTGATTCAACTCGATTAAAGACTAAGTATCTAGACACTGAATCTCTTTAGCCTGTGAAGCGCCTCTAGGGGAGGGGGAAGGGGAAGGGAGAAAAAGTTGAGGGGGGTAGGGAGAGGAGGGGGAAAAATAAGGCTAGAATCTCTTTAGAAAGTTACACAAAAGTCAACACAACATACATGTAGCTGTAAAAGATAAGTCATTTAAGAAGAGTCCGTGCTTTTACTAATAAACATTAAATACTAAGTTGGTATTTAGTACGTTGGTCACTAGATTGACTTTCAAAGCTTGACTCATTCTTGTACCCAGACCCTCYTCAGCTTYCATTTTCCGTTAGGAAGCTAAGGAGGGTCTGGGTAYGAGTATAAGCTTGACKAACCTGACACAGTGACATACTTGAAWGGTCCAGACCTCAAGTCATCACATGACTGCACAACTCCTGCAKCATGAGAACTATCTTTMCTTTCCTTCAAAGGTTTCTCTTCATCAACCACTTCAAAGTCTAAGCAGGCTTCTTCCCTAAGGCTGACATCATTCTTCATACTAGTTRKGGTAKGWTGTRARATGTTGYCACATGTTGAGGTCGAYRTGGAGTCATTTTCAGCAAAGACGGAAGWTAAAAACCCTTGTACAGCTGTTGAGGCTGCTGCGATGAATTGTAAATGTTGTTGACCAAAATCTATTTGAAGTAGTCCAATGTTGAYATTGCTGCAAATTGGAGGCAAACTGGAAGTGAAAAGARGAAAGKGAGAAAGTCAGCATCTTTTATTCTATGTCAATAATCATTAATGAATCTATGAACATTGATACTCCACACTTTATCTCACAGTTTGAAACTACTTTTCAAGATTTTYAGATRACACCTTGAYGTCATATCCCTCCACACCTATAACCTGACTAACGTACAAGAGATCTGTTCTAACCTGGTTGGTAACGGCATTAGTGTGCTCTGCCAAGAACCCATTTCAGCATCACAYGTGACAGCAAATGGTTTGATGAARTAATACTGCTGACCAGTAATGACAAAAGACACCTCAAGACCCTCAAACTCTAACTTGGATGTAAGCATTGGAAATTTGCCTGGAAGATGAGGAATAAACATTTTATTTTAGCTACAAATGAACTCAAAACATCAAAAAAGCTTGAATGTATTGGGGAAAGTCTTTGACCTCATTTTACATCACCTTGTACTGATGTTTTAATAATCATATCACTTTGGTTTCTTGCCATGGCAACAATTAGTTTTTGACAGCTATCATGTTCTGTTGTCATGGATACATGCAGTGACATGCCCTGTGTTTTGATGTCTATGTGATGCAATGTGCTTGGTCCTGCAGGAACAGACGCTGGAACAGATGCTGTATCTTTATGATCATTGTTCGTTGATGTGACAATTAGGTCATCAAACAGATGAACAAGCTCAGATATCATGTCAAGACTGAAGGACAATTGGATTTGACGACCAACTTCAATGAAGGTGTTAACTGAGAATGTAATAAATTAATGAAATGTTAATATCATTTGAGTGTGTCATGAAGAATTTTTTGTGTGAACAACCAGATGAATGTGGGTTTAGAATGAATGAATGAATATATGAATGGTCAAGGAGATGGATAAATGGATAAATAAAATAAATGGGTAGGAAAATAAATGAATGGGAAAATAAATGGATGGGAAAATAAATGGAGTTGAAAGTAAATGGATGGGACAATAATGGATGGGAATATAAATGAATGGGAAAATAAATGGATGGAAAAATAAATGGATGGGAAAATAAATGGATGGGAAAATAGATGGATGAGTGAATGGAAAAGAGAATGCATCACTACAATAACTATACCTTTATCATGTCCATGTTGTATTCCTGCTGTTAGTAGAGATGGTTTAACACCAGTGCTGGGATCAGGTAGACCAGGATTGGTTGAAAAACACTTGATATTGAAGTCTGATGCTTCAGGAAGAGACTTGTGCAGCCAACCTTTCCCTGCTTCACATCCAATTACAATGGCATCGTAGCACCACAGCTGAAAGCTTGGACCCTGACCTTGATCCTTATAGATTGCTGCTGGCTCAACTATGTCTACTAACAAAACAGGCTTGATGTGAAGTGACAAAAAACGACCAGGGCTCCCCTCCCTGGAATACAATGGAGAACTGTGCAGACTTTTACGTCGGTGAGAAGTATGTCTTGTGTAGATTTTAATTGACAGCTTTCGGGCCGCAAAGAATGCCTCAAAGGGCACTGTGGCATGTTTCTTGGCYTGCTCGGGTTGACTACTGCCTAGTCCACTATCAGCGACCTCTCCCTCATGAATGGGTTTTCTGACATCAGAACTGCTTGGATTTGATTGGCTGAGGGACGACAATAGCTCACAAGAGCAAACCATTTCAATGTTCTCCTTTGCAAGAAGCTGCAACAGTAGAATCTGGGGAAAAAATAAAAAAAAGTCACAAATGATCAGGAAAAGACTATCAACTTTTTTCACCCAAAATGTCAGCTTATTGTGCTTGGCTACAAGCTAGAGCGGATATCGTATGAGTGGGACACAGTTATCACACAGTTACCGCACAGTTACCGCACCTGGCCTGCACAATTTCGGTGAACCAATGGGGCACTAGAATTTGGTTACAGTACGATTACGGTCACAGTACAGTACCGTTCGTTTCCCACTCATACGAAATCCGCTCTATTATAATAATAGTACTTTACTTTGGATTAAATCACATTAGTTTACCTGCGTTTTGTTAAGATAACACTCAACATCTGTCACTAYATTCATTTCCAAAGACCAACCACAGACTGGCAAGCTCTTGGTGACCTTGGAATTAGGCAAGGTCATCTCCATGGCAACAGCTGGGGCTAACACTATTTTGAAGTCAGACTCTGACAAAAGTAGAGATACGTTGACCTCTTTGGCTGACTGCCTGATAAACAAATAMACMAGATWWWTTAGAAWGKGATATGAAAAAATATTGGATGCTGATGTCAAGATATAGGGAGTAAGTAAAGCAAGTAAAGATTGATCATTGAGTTCTTACCATAGACGAGTGTTCCAYTCTAAAGCAGGATTCTGATCCATTACMGTATCACCACCCAAAATATCTTTAYYTTGCTGGCTTAGATTACCACATAACTCACTCCATTTAGCAGCCCAAATACCAAAGCCACTAAAGTCAGTYTGRTATTGCACTTCATGTAAATCATACCCCAGAGCRCGCCTGGAGCTACGRCCAAACCCTACGTACTTCTCATACAAATCTTTACTCAAAACACTTCGAGCTATTGGATTGTCAGGATGTGRTGTGGTTGAGACTTTGGASAGATGGATGACAATCAGGTCTTGTGATAWAGTTGTTTGGCTCCCTTTAGTTGAAGTTACATTTGAACATGGTAAAAATAACCTGATTTCTCTCATRTTAACAAAGAGCAGAGGCAAAAGACTTGCTGAAATCACAGCATTCTCAGTATCCTCTGTGTTGYTTGTGTGTTTYAGCTTTTTTGAGAATTCCCCTTGAGAAAGAAACTTGAACTTRTCAAGAAGKCGTGCATCAAAGACATCAATGGCAGCWACCATTACTGGGGACCACAAAACCACATCAAATGGTTGGCATGCTAYRCGGACTTCATGCTGTAGTCTGAARCACTCATTTGGTATGGAGTCACTTCTAGTTCTGTCWGAGTGKCGACGTTTAAAATGGAGGTTCAGGCAGTTGTAGGTAATRGTAAGGAACCCATGGGGGTTATTGAYAGGTCCRTCRCTAGAGGTTCCTGTGGGGGGTAGTCTAGGGGATGCAATTAGTGGTGATGTCTTATAAGATAGGATATCTTTACAGGARAACAATATTCCACCATATGGACCAGGATGCCATTCAGAGTCACTGAAAATAAGATGATAGTGATTATTATTTTTACTGAAACTATAAGCTTCATAATGTTGTGCATAGTTGGCTTTATTGACACAAAGAATAGAAGAGATTTTGACCTTACTATCAAGGTTTTGGGCTACATTTTAATTGCAAAATTCCAGGACTTTTCAAGTATATTTTAAGCATAAATTCCATTTTTTTCAAGGACTGTTTAAAGGCTTTTGAAATGTCCTTAAAAACAGATTTCAATTTTAGGATGTTTTCACAATGTCAAGGTGAAGCACAAACCCTGATTAAAGCCTTCATCTCACTATCAAAACCCACCTTTTAACTGTGTGAGTGACACCAAAAGCTCCAACTTTGTACTGCATCTGTAAATGTGTGTCCTGGTAGTCAACAAATGCTGTCAAGTCTTCAAGGTCTGTTGTGACGCATATTGGTATGTTATCCTTGGAAAGATGACCAAATAGTTTGATAACCAAGCGAGGTACTGTCCATTGTAGCCAGAGAGACAGCCTTACACCTTGATCCAACTKTTAAGAAAAACAATGGAGCATAAATAAAGTTATAAAGCAAGGATATATTATATCATGCCACATTTTAGTTAAACTTCCAGGACTTATCAAGTTCTCTTTAAGACAATCAATTTAATCTTGTTAAATGTTTGTGGATGTTTCTTTAGTTGATTTTGAAAATGCTCTTATTCCAATAAAAGTATTAAAAACAACATGTCGAGGACAACATGAGAGATTCAAGGAGTATTCCTGTAGTTTTTTGGGGTTTTCCTCTTTTCAAGAGCTTTTCACGGATTACAGGTAGTCAATGAGCCCTGCATACAATGAGAGTTGCAACAAAAGTATTAAGTTACTGGTGTTTAAGGCACTTATTGTTTTTACTCTTACGAAGGACTAAGATCTGAAATAACAGTAAATTACCTATTAAATTACTGTTTATAACTTATCCTTTTATAACAACTATTTATTAGATTTTTAATAAATAGTTTCTAATTAGATTTCAACGCTAGTTGTCTCTTACCTGATTGACATCTGTGAAAGACGATGAAGACTCACTTTGACACTCAATCTCTTTCTCTGCTTGGTCTACAGCTGATGATGAAGTCATTGATGTAGTACGCTGTAAAGTTGGATGTGCTTGCTTTGCAGGTGTGAATGGAGAGGTACTGAGATCAGTAGATGAGGAGGGAATGACTGTATGAAGAAACACCTCCATGATATTTGCTAGGAGAGTTATCTGTAGAAATGAGTCAGAAATAAACATTTAAATGTACATATATGAAGTGAACACTATGAGAAATGCAAGATGTTCTATAAACACAGTCTAATCAAATGATAATGATAGTATACTCAACTAAATTGACAAACAGAAATAAATAAGCAAAGAAAATAATGTTTGCTGTGCTTAAAATGAGCTGAATATAGTGTGCAAGCAAACAAACAAAATGAAACAACAGCAAAAAAGTAAGAAATTAATGATAATATATGTACCATCTAATACAATGAAAACAAATAACAAAAAATAACAATAAAAATATGTACAAAATGTAATTGTTTAACAGAATGAAAACAAAGTGACAGAGGTTCTCACTTGTTTACGTGAACTGCTGACCACTACTGGTGTGAAATCAGTATGCACACAAAAACCAAGAGTGGGAACCCTGTGGCTCTCACTTCCTGTCTTATGAGTACGGGGTATGTTGTGATGTAATGATGATGTCACAGGTGATGTCACACTYGACGTCTGCGCTGAGGCCAAGACTGCTGTACAAGAAACTGGAGATATCATGTAGTATACAGAGTCCTGTTCAGTGCCGTGRATAGAGTAAACYGCCATGTTGTTGGCGTTTAGTGTCCATGGCAAAGTGTCGCTCTTTAAGTGGTCTTTTGAGCTGTTTTTTTGAAGGTTAACTGGTAGTTTTGGTCTAAATGAGACTTTGTTGTGATGTGAGCTRTTTAAYTCCAGTGATGGCAGACAYAGTACTAGAGTTGAAGGGAAAGATGTGGTGTCYTTGGCTTTGAGCCTTTGAAGAGTGAGGTTTTGGGGRATGGACTGTGCTTGGGGATCTGKAACASRMAGRAAWT